GACCAACCCCCCGATCCCCCCACCGGAACCAAAATTTTATTGCAGATTTGGGGACCTCTCGCCGAGCGCGGAACGACCCCGGTTTCAAAAAAAAAAGATAAAAAATTCTGGGCATTTTTTTGTCCTGCCCGGTTTACCCGGGCGGCCCCCCCGGGCCCAACTGGCTGGGGCCAGCCCGGCCGGGCGGCGTCCTCACTCAGCTGATTTGGTAATAGATTTTAATTTATTAGTACGGGCCCAGTACCATGTCCCAGTTTTTTTTCTCTTTTTAAGCAGGGGCCATGGTAATCTTCTCTGTATCGTTCCAATTTTACCGGATGTCATGAAGGACCATTTTTCTTTTATGTATGTCAGGGGCGAAGTAGAACTTCCCTGCGAGCATTGTACAGGACAGATAGAGATCCAAAAGGATAAGATCGGTACAAAGTTACAAACAGTAGAGGGTCCTAGTAGTCAGTCTGTCAGGAGTCGACACGTGTCCAGTGACGGTCCCATCACAGCTCAGTCCCAAGGAAGGTCCACGACAGGACAAATCTCTGTCTGCCATGGCAAGGAAAAAAGGAGAGCGAGAGAGAGAGAGAGAGATTCCTGCTTGTCATTGTTGTCGGTGGCCATAGCCCCGACCTCGAGAAGGCTGTGTAAAAGTGTGTAATATGTATATCATTTCAAGTTGTAATTAAGTTCTGGGTGTACTCATATCGTGTGGATCTTGCTATCGCGACTTGCATCGTGAGTGAGATGCACAAATAAAGTGACAAGTAATAAAGGCCGAAAATCAAGACCTTGATCCAGACTAGCCGGGCTATTTGGGCATGCTTTATGGTGCGCCGGATCATTTCAGTGGTATCGGAGCAGCTTTCTCGTACGTAGCAGTGCAGGATGGAGGCTGGAGATAGCGCGCCAAGGATGAGAAAGGTGTGTGCACTAGGAGATACGAGCGCAGCAAGAAGAGAAGCTGCGAGCAAGGAGGAGAGCCACAGTCGTAGAAGGGGGCGTGCTGAAGGCGGGCATGAAGTGGGAGCAGGCAAGCACTGTGCAGAAGAGAGCACAATGCAGGCAGAGATTCGGGACAGAGGATGAAACCACTCGTGGAGCAGGCACAGAGATAACCCCAGAGGATAAAGAAATGGGCTGCTGCTGATACCTGGACGGGCGACACTGCCGTGCACACAATCGATGGCACATGATAAGGACTTTCTTTTTTTTTTTCTTTTTTTTTTTTTGGGTCTGACAGGCAACTGGAGATGAACATGTCGCCAGCAGTGAAGGCGGAACAGCGACGACAGGAGCATCTGTTCGGAAACGAGACTGCGGAGCAAATGGAGCCAGCAAGGAGGAACACTACCGTCTGCGCCCAAGGACAGAACGAGTCGAGAGGCGGTAGACTGAGCAAGGGTTTGACATAGATGACGCGAGCATCAGGGAGATAAAGCTTGCAACTGTTCTCTTCCCAGATATAGTGAGAGACAGGGGTCAACCGGACACCACAGGAAACCTGAGTAGTAACCGCAATGGTGTGAGCAGCAGAGAAAACCCCGGCTGTGCCAGTGCCAGAGGAAGCCAGCCCGAGCGGTGCGAGCAGCAGCAGTAGAAGCTGCATCATAGGCACTGCATATCGATTGCTACCTTCTTCGCCCGAATACAACGTACGTCGTACGGTCATTACTGCTGTATTTGGACTGAAAGATACCCCAAATACAGCTGTAATGGCCATACGATGTATTCGGGTGAGGAAGGTAGCAAGCGAGCAAGCAGCTGCAGGACAAGGGTGTCATGGCGGTGCAAGGAAGAAAGTGGAGAATGAAGTGACTACCAGTCTACTGCAGCATGCGTCGGAACCATTGAGAGAGACGAGTCGCACGCATAAGATAATGGCACTCGCTGGCAAGAGCGCGTGTAGCAGGTCCAGCACGTACCGGAGGCTCGATGAAGGATTTTAGTATCATTTTACGCAAGAAAGCATGCGGCGAGCAAGTGTTGTAACAGTTGCGGAAGTCTCGCCAATTGCTGCAGATTTTCTGTGTCAGTTGTCCAGAAAACACACCATCAGGGTCGACAGGGTCGATGGAAAGGAATTGTCGTTGCACTCGGATAAGGGATGACAGGGGGGAAGTAAGGAAAAAAAAAAAAAAAAGGAATGACAGGAAAGTTTCCGCCAACCCCTTTATCAACAACACGTATGTGAAGCGAGAACCATAACTGCAATTTCGTCAAAACACTCAAAACGGACATTTTGTAATTTTTTGAACGAAATTGAAACCGGCTAAATTGGCCCAATTCAGGTCAAAATTTGTAGCTTTCGAGGGTCCGGCGTTCTTAAAATGCCGGACTCCCTGGACGTATCTGGACTTAGCCGTAGTCCAGGGGGTCCAGTGTTCTGTATCTGGAGTTAGCTGAGTCCAGGGGGTACGGCGTTTTAAGGACGCCGGGCCCTCGATTTCGTCAACATTTCGACCTGAATCGGCCCCAATTTAGTCGGTTTCAACTTTGTTCAAAAAAGTAAAAAATTCCGTTTTCACGAAATTGCTGTTCCATCAGCATGGACCCCCGAACATAGCGCACGTGGTCGAGGTGATACCATCTTCCCCCCGAACATCGCGCACCTTCATCGTGACCTAAAAAGAAACAAAACAGCATTACCTGGCAGGCTGGCACTGATGTTCCAGATGAAGAAAAGTATTATGTGGCACTGGTGGACCGTGGTGGTCCCGTGGTGGTCCAGTGGTGGTCCAGTGGTGGTCCAGTGGTGGAAGTGACACCATCATGACAAGTAGCTCTATACCTAAAAAGGAACAGCATTACCTGGCACTGATGTTTCCTTCCACTCAAGGCGGTGGATGCCCTGGTGGAGATGGATGATACCATCTTCCCCCGAACATAGTGCACCTTCATCATGCCCGCATCGGCCCAGAAAGATCTCTCTTGTATGCATTCAAAATCAGGGTGCGTTATATTCAGTGGGCGTCCAAAGACGGTAATTGTCCCAATGAAAGAACATAATAAGTCCAAATCACTCGATAACGAACTTCACTGTGTATTGCTCAGTGGCCGGAGCTCGAAGATCACGCTGACGAAGGTCATCGAAATCCAATAATCGCAGTTTCCCAGTGGGGCTATACACTAAGTGTTCGGCTTTGTAGTTTGTTTTCTTGTTTTGAGCCTTGCGGGACTTGATGCCGTGACCTATGTTTGTTTGTTAGTTTTGAGACCTATTAGGCTTGACCCCTAGATCTGTCCCTAGTAGTCCCTATGTGGCAGTCTTAGGTCATTTTCGGCTGCCGGAGGAGATTGACGAGTTCGGTGAACATAGTACAGACAAGGCGACACATCGGTATGCGGGTTACCCCCAATGGTTATTCATTTGCAGTAATGCCCTCGGCTGCCAAGGGCACCGGTATGGGTGTAACCCCCAATAGTGATTCCATGTTGCACCAAACTGCAGTGATGTCCTTGGCTGTCCAGGGCATCGGGATTACATCTTTCAGAGCATTGAGCCTTGCACCACCACTCACCACATGCAGAAAAGACACAAACTATGGCGCTTAATATTTCCATGTTCTAGCGGAATAACCATTCTCTGGGTGGTGGAGCGATGCCCGTTCTCACCTTCAACGGATACGCCAACAAACATTCCCTTCGTGCAGCTGTAGGAGTAACATGCTGCCGCTCCGCCTCGCCCTGCGCGTATATCTGCCTCCGCAACTCGTCCCACGGGCCCGGCAGCAACACCCAGGCCTGCCCCAACGGATAGGTGTACTCGCCCACAAAACGCCTTCACGGCATCGTACTTCCTCAACACAATGATAAAGTCACTCAACTCGCCACCAAACTACACGCACACACAAGCACAATGCACAGCAGGATAACAATTCATCTCCTGTTGTTGTCCGTCAATCACAACAACAACATATGTGTGTGTGTATGTGTGTGTGTATGTGTGTGTGTATGTGTGTGTGTGTGTCTTTGTGTGTGTGTGTGTGTGTGTGTGTGTGTG